CCTAATGTTGGGTAATATCTCTTGGTATGTACAATATCTTGATACACATGTATAGAAATATATTTTGTGTATCTAACCTGTGTATTTGAGATGCTTTCAAAGTCGAATATTTGTATCTGTATCTAGATTCAAAAATACATCTCAATTAATTTTTAGATGTATTTTCAGATACATTTCCTCAGCAAAGGCATGATTCTATTATATGTATGATAACGTCTCTTGATTCAGATCTGAACAAATATAATTGGATTTGTAAAACTGAAAACGATTAATGTGTCTAGAAAGTCTTATCGTAAATTGTTTTACGATAATTGCAAATTTTTGCAATTTCGTTTTGGTTTGCCGAATTTTCGTATCATGTTGTAGGAATGATAATGTAAGGATTAAGTATTATTAGTGCCGAAACTTCGGTTTTTGTTTACAAAAAATGGCACGTGTGATTATGATACGAGGATTTTTAATTACTTTATTATTATTATATTATGATTAAATTTCTTCAAAATAACGAAACCAAAAGTAATTAATAAATTATTTAGTATATATATATTTTTAATATTACCATTGGTATAATAAAATATAAAATATAATTTAAAGGTATCTGTATATGTGTACCTAGATATATTTTAAAAGTTACCCATAACTCATATTTGCTTCACGTTTCGGTTTAAATCGATCTTCATTTAAATTGTATGAATAACTATTTTTAGTGTCTTTTGTAATGTTTTTGTTTTTTATTATTATTTTCCTTTTTTCGTTACAAGCATCTGTAACACTACAGACCGTAGTCAATTAATTAACAAGTAAAAGCGATTTACGGTAAATAAACTTAATTAAAGAATTGTACATGAAAACAGTAAGGTAGGGAATTTTTAATTAAATTATGAAGAATGCGTTATATCTAGTTAAAGAGAGAGAGAGAGAGAGAGAGAGAGAGAGAGAGAGAGAGAGAGAGAGAAAGAGTATCACAAAAATATTTTTAAGAGATGAATATTTCTCACGTAAGCGCAGCAATTGTCCGTATGTATGTATGTGTACGCGCACCGGTTGCACTATTCAGGCCACATGCATCGAGATCCGCGATGTTTGCCGATCAAACAGACTTTATAACGAGATGAGCGCGTGCAGCCTTGTTGACGGAAAATATTGAACGAACGTAAGCTCTCGGCATTGTCCTCGACAAAAGAGCGGCCAGTTTGTACGCGTCCAATGGAGGAACGCACCCCTCACTAACAGGACGACCCTTCACGATTCTTGGATCATATCATGAAGCTGGCTTGTTCCGGCAGTATCGAGTGTTTTTGACATCGATTCATAGAATATCAATTTAATAGTTGGAATCAACATTCGCTCGTAATTATTCGAACAAAATTTTTTTTTAAAAAAGCTCATGAATATAATCGCGAAAATATAGTTTTTAGATCATTTTTATCTAAATCGAAAATTATATCTGCATATTTCGAGATATTTACTGCATTTTCAGTGACAGCAAATTTATAATTTATTTCCAACAAATCGTAGAAAAAAGGGGGGGGCGGAAGGCTTGTTAAATTAACAAAAAAAAAAACAGTAATTATAATAAAAGTGTAAATATTGATGTACATGCATATTAATGTAAGTCTCAATCAATATATAACTGAATGAACTATTACTAACTAGTAGAATCTAACAAATATCTGACGCAATGGCGTCCGTTAGGAACGCGTGATGAACACTTGAGATAGAAATACAAATTAATCGACGCAGTAATCGCAAGTGATCCATTCACCTCTGTCCATCCTTCTCCCACCAACACTCAAACAGTGGCCTGGTAATGGGATAGCCCCGACCACAATACACCCTTCAGTGAGGCGGAAGAGAAACAAGGAAACAGCATTACCCGGGAAACGGGTCGGTAATCCCAACCGATCCAAGAACCATCAGTATCAATAGATGTATCAGCTTCAGTGTTACCATCATCGAAGTCAAGCTCTATCAGCGTTCGAGACTCTAATCAATAGTATAGACATTCGAAGAATGAATCACAAAAAACAACATATAATGGTAAACCTTACGTTTTAGTCCTCTGTACGTTTAATATGTCAATCTCATGTCGATATCCCGCATTGTATTCATATTACAATTAGAACGACACGATAATCATAATATAAAACATGAATCGTATATTATCCCATTAT